GACAGCTATTTTTTTAGTAATATTTTTAAGAATATTATTAAAAAAATAGCTGTCAGACAAATTGTTGTAGAGCAAGTAACATGAACCTATTTATTTTGGTTTTGTTGTAAATATTGAATTTGGTTGATAATATTAACTAATTGTTCTAACCTATCAATATCATTTGAATCTAGATTCATCATATTTTTATTAATTGTTTGCCGTTCATTATTACATAGATAAAAATTATTTTTTTGAGAAGTTTTTACTTTACATTTAACAAAATTCATTTTTTTTAAAAAAATATAAATTTATTTATTTATAAAGAATACAAATGATATTTATATATTTCTGATAATAATAATAAAGTAATTTTATCCAGCTTCATCTTCTTCTATATTATTTCCACCACCTTGGTTACCTTGTATGACTCCAATTACTCTTGCTAGATCTTGTTAAGAAATTGGTTTAATGATCGGTTTGTATGCTGTTTGAATTTTCAGATCTTGAATCATGACAGAATAACCAACATCTTCAGCTAGTAAGTTTCTTGCTGCTCCAAAACCAAAATAAGCAACATCTTTAGAATCTTTAAGTCTCATAGCCCAATCACCATAACTTACTGTAATGAGTAAAACAAATTTCCCAATATTGAAAAATGTATGTTCACCTTCAGTACCTTTGTTCAGTAAACATACATCCATCTTTTTGTTAAATTTAAAACATAAAGTAAGATCATGAGTTGTGAATGTACAATCGGCACCACAGGAGATATATGCGTATTTTTCTCTAATAATTTTAAATATACTTTTTGTAGTAAAATCTTTGAGATCTTTATGTGGTTTGTTGATTAAATCGACTGCTGTATATGCTTGTTTTTTCACTTCATTTCTGTCACAAATAACCCCAATAAAAAAGATAGATACATGTTCTCTATTAATGGGTAATAAGTGTTTTGTGCGTTGTTAGCTTGGTTATTGTAAGTTTGAAAATGATTTTGTATCAAATCTATATCATTGCTTGTTTCATAAAAAGCAATAAATTTTGTATCGATGGTTATATCATATAAAGATATTTTATCAATTCTAATTCCTTGGTTTAGTGAAAATATATTGATTCGATTGGAGAGTGGTAAGAAATAATGACGATTATTAGCAACTTGTGGTTCTGCTACATTTCAGATTTCGTATTATACAAATTCGTCATATTTGAAATCACATTTCTTCAATTCTTCTGTTTCTTTTGTATCCAAGATTACAAAAATAATTTGTATTTCTTACAACTCAATTGCATCAAAGTAACTTACAGTTTGGCGAACAGCTCATCTTTTTTTATTTAGATTTTTCTAAATCATCCAATATAATCAGGGGCGCTGCTTGTAGCTTTTTTTGTTGGTTTACAGTCTTTACAATTCTTCGAGACTGAGACAGATCTCCTTTTGATAGTTGTATTTGCTTTTTTTCTTTTTGTAGTTTTTTTAGTTTTGGTTGTTTTTTTAGGTTTCTTGCTAGTTCTTGTACAGGTTTTTTTAAAACCAGGTAAGCACTTTTTTGTTTTTGCTACTGTAAATTATAATATGTCTATATACTTTATAATTTCTGTGAATATGACACATGTATTACACAATAAATGATTAAAAAATGGTGTAATTAATTTGTCTTTTATAGAAGAAAAATCAAATTTGTATATATAATTAATTGTTTGAATAAAAGATATAAGAAAGATTATTGTACAAATATCAATTAGTAAATATGAAAAGAAAATAAATATTTGATGCCATTCCATTTTAAAAAAAAATAAATTTTATTAAGAAACTAGGATATTTATATGTTTAGTTGATAAGAATACAGTAAAAAGTTTTTTCAAAAAGGTTGTTATAGAAAATTAATAAACCAATAAAAAATATGTTTGATAAGAAAATAAATGAAATTAACAGTAAAATATCTATGTTTGTTAAATTTCTGTTAGTTTTTAGTCATCTAATTTCTTTAGTATTAAAAGAGTTTTTTAATATATTGATAACATTTGTTTCTAAAACATCTATTTTTTTAATAATATCATCTTTAATATTTGGACTAATTCTTTTTATGTCTAAAACTTCAATTAATGTAGTTTTAATTGTGTTCTTAAAATTATCAACTACTTTTTTTTAAATCATTATAATGTTGTTACCTAACTATCAATGATGAAAGAATGATCTTCTTCATTTTTATAGTAAATTTTTTTTGAGATTTCATATTTATATTCTTCAGAATTTGAAGCGATTAATTCTTTGATTTTTTCAACAATTTCAACTTTATAATCGAAAGAAATTTTGACTCCCTGGAAAACTATTTTCTTCTATTTTTTATTTTATTAATTTAAGAAAAACTAGTCTATTTATATTTATTGTTATTAAACTTTCCCCCCTTTGTCTCGTGCCCCTTGAGAAGAAGGAAGAATCCTAAGGGAAAGTGAGGTCTTGATGAGTTGGGTCTGAGCCCAAGCTATACTTTGTCTCTGTGCTATGCCGCATGGGGGATATAGTAGCAATCATAGGGTTGTATAACTTACTGTAAGTTATTTTTAAAATGTAAGTTACATTTTAAGCTATGTAAGTTACCATGTAAGGTAAGTTATATATAATAATAATAATAATAATTTCATCCTTTAATAACCTTAATGCTAGTTAAATTTATTCTGGTCGGCATTAATATAAAGACAACCTGCTTTACTATAATATATTTTGTAACTTACATAGGGTCATGTAACTTATGATGTAACTTACAATGTAAGTTACATTGTCAGGTAATTTATTACAACCCTAGGCAATTATCAGTACGATAACCAAAGTTGGGCATCCCTATGGGACAGCTGGCTTTTAGTCTAATCAAACATTGAGTGTTTAATCTTGTATTGAATGTCAAATCTTAATAAACTTTTAGTATGTGGTTATCAAAGGTTAAAAAATATATATATATATTTATTTTTAGGATTCTCAGAGCTTGAATTCCATCTCTGCACGGCTATTTTAAATCGGGTTTTCTCCTTCATTTTTCAATCTCACCATTTCTTTTTTTATAAACAGGTTATAGAATGAAGATTTTTTTTAATAATTTGTTCTTCCTTTTTTATATCATCAGATTCAGAATTAGTTGTTGTATTTGATTCAGAATTAGATTCAGATTTATCGTTAGAAAACATGTAACTTGAAGCTTTATTGATATTTGAAAAGTATTTTATGAAAAAAAAAAAATCTTTTTTATGAATTTTAATCATTTCTTTTTTTGTTTTAGCTTTTTTAACAATTTTCGTGATTTTTTCTTTTGTTTTCATTTTTAATATTTAGTAAAATATATATTTATTTAATAAATAAAATAATAAATTATAACTCATCATTGATTTGCTTGGCTATTTTTATAATTTTTTTGTTTTTTGATTGCATTTCTTTAATAATTGCTTTTACATGTAATGAATAATTTTTAAATAAAGTTGAATTTATTCTATACAAAAAAATTCATTCTTTTAATTAATATTTATCAATAATTTAATTATATTCATTAACCAATAGCTTCATTTTTTCATAATTAAAAGTTCTAACATTTTCAAATTCATTATTAATATTTTTATTCTCAGTAGAAATTTTTTCCAAACAATTCAAAATTTCATGCTCGTAAACGATTCTAATCACTATAATGAAATAAGGATAAATTTATTTGTTGCTACCCATTACATAACATTTTTGTCATAAGTCACATGATATATAATCGGCCAATCAAAACGTAAGTATATTTAAAATATGAATTTTTATTATCTGTATTTATTCTACTAATACTAATACTAACCCTACTAACCCTAACCGCTAACTAACCCTACTAACCTAACTGCTAACTAACCCTAACCACTAACTAACTAACCCTAACTCTAACCCTAACCACTAACTAACTAGCTCTAACTATTAACTAATCTCACCCTATTCTAACCATCAAAATCGGTATGTAAAGAGACGTTACAAAATCCACTGAAAGTATGAACCTACATAAGCGAAACTGAAAAGCTCCAAATACTGAAATTGGCACGCTATGAAATCGACAGCACCACTAAGATGAAGTGACAGTAACTTTAACTTTAAGGACAACACCTCTAAAAAAAAAAAAAATAGTTGGTAAAACACATACACGAAACCGAAGGTGAAACTCTAGAAAAATGAAAGCGATAACTCAATTCACCAAAAATGGCAAACTAACAAGAGCGGGAACCTGGAGAAGACACCGAAATCGACACCACAGTGAAATGCCAGTAACGATGCAACACAAAATCTACCGAAATCAAAGATGGCACAACATAATGATGCAACACAAAATCTACCAAAATCAACAACAGCACAACATAATGATGCACCACAAAATCCACCGAAATCAACGACGGTACAACACCAACGAAGACTAGCTCCAGCGACAAAGACTCCACAAACGATGACTTCAATAACAATGCCTAGTTATCTGAAAAAAAGAGTTTGGTTAGTAAAACATATACACAGGTGAAATGCCAGTAATGATGCACCACAAAGCCCACCAAAATTAATGACGGCACCACACCAACGAAGACTAGCTCCAGCGATGAAGACTCTACAAACGACGACTCCAGTAATGACACCTAGTTGCTTGAAAAAAAAGGGTGGTTAATAAAACACACATACTGTACTAGAAAAACAAAATCTATGAATTTACACAGGCGAAATGCCGTCAACGATGTACCACAAAGCCTACCGAAATCGACGACGACACTACACCAGCAAAGACTAGCTCCAGTAGCAATGACTCCACAAATGATGACTTCAAAGACAATGACTCCAAAAACGACAACTCCAATAACAATGCCTAGTTACCTGAAAAAAAAATGTTTGGTTAGCAAAACATATATGCACTAGAAAAAAAAAAAAAAAAAAAGCAATGATTATCATTGATAATCATTGCTTATATATTGCACATGACCCGTTACAAATATATCATGTAACAGGGGGCAACAATAATATTTATTCATGAAATAAATAATAAATAATAATGGTTTCATCTTCGTGAACTTTTAAGGTTTGGACTTTTTGCTTTATGAACTGGTTTATATATTGCTTTTCCTTTTAAATTAAATTTTTGTATGTAGATTCCACCTGGGTAACTTTTACACATTTTACCGTTTTTATTTAAAATTTGTTCATATCTACCTTTTTTAAAGTTCCATGTATGCAATTGATCTAATGTTCGTTCTTCAATAATGATTTGTGGTTGTAATAGTGTTCTACTATTTTTAGTTCATACACAATTTACAATAACAATCAATAAAAATAAAAAAAACAAAATTTTTTCATTTTTAACATATATAATTTTGTAAATAGTATTTATGTAGTTTTTTAAATTTGAATAAAAATATATTGGTTATTATTTGAATGTTTCTGATTGTTTATAAACCATATGACTATAAAAATATAATTAACCAAAATATTTTTATATTTTTGTATATTTTTTTGTTAATTTTATAAATATTATTTAACTGTTCTAGTATATTTTGAAAGAAAACAATATCTTCATTTTCTCATTCTTTCAATTCTCGATTTATTTTTAAAAGGTCCTCTTTATCTTTATTCAATACTAATACACATTGTTGCAAATCATTTTCTTGTTCTTTTAACATTTAATTTATTCTTAAAAGGTCCTCTTTATCTTTAGTCAATGCTAAAACACGTTGTTGCAAATCATCTTTATTCATTTTTTTTTAAAAAAATTTAATAATTTAATGTATGATATATTTATTTATAATAAATTATAATAATAAATTTTTTAAATAAAATTTCTTTGTAAAATCTCCATTTTTAAAATTTGATTTAACAATAAAAGTTTTAAAAATAGAATTAAAAAAAGTATTTTTTGAATGTAAAAAAGTAAGTTTAAGGTTTTGTATTTAATTTTGATTCAATTTTTACAATTACATTTTTATATGAATTTTAAGTGGTTTTAAGTCTATATATTTTTTTCATTAAACTGCATGTAGGCCAAAGGCCGAAGGTGCCTCCAAATAAATAACTCATTGCTGCGCATGAGTTGTATTTATTTGGACAATTTATTATTACCTTAACACAGTTAGAAGTAAGACAATAAATAGTAAAAATAAATAAGCTAATGAATTTCAATCGAGTTTATGGCCATATTAACTTGATCAAAAAAATAAATTTTTTTCGAAAATTTATATAAGACCATATAAAAGTAATTTCTTTTTTTATCAAAAATTCCGAAATAGATATTTTTTTAAAAAATTTTAAATTATCTACCCAGTTTATCAAATATATAAATAAAATTTTAAAATGCTTTCAAAATTTGAACCGGCAAGCTTATGAAGTGACAAAGAAAAAAAAAATTATAGCCTTATTGCTAATATTACTTTTGACAATTTATTTTTTATTTTTACAATCAGAAAATTTCATGCTTATAGTACTGCATAATGAAGTTTATTTATACGTAAATTTTTGCTCTAAAAAAGATAATTTTTCAATCAAATTTATTTAAAACTAATTAATGAAATCTTAGGATTCTAATTTTCAAGATTTGAACAAAATCTATTTATTAATGAATATTACCGTAAATGTGCGTATACAAGACCCTGGTCTAGTACACGCTGGGAGGTTATTTCATAAAAGAAAAAAATTTAAAATGCATACACGATTTTATATAGCTGGGTCTACTATTTTGGGGGATCTTGCATACACACATTTATGGTAGCGAATTTTTGCAAGACACATCAATGTTGTCTTAATAATAAGGTTGACTCACGTAGCTTGCACTTCCACAGTTCGTGTTCAGTGAATAATGCTAACACCTTCGAACCTAAAATAATAACATGTTTCAGCTATTAGTATGATTTTTTTTATAAAAAAATAATGAATACGAAGTGTCATCATCACACCATCCTAATACCACTGGTCGTAGTCTCGGAATATGAAGGTCTACAGTTGGCGATTTCCACAAGTTGGCCCCTGTGAACTCACTCCAACCAGCGTAACTTACACCTCCACAATGTTAAACAGTTCACTTTGGACTCAGAAAAGTATCACACCTTCAAACCCAAACAAATAATAACGTGCTTCGAAAATTACTTTTTCATGTTCGTTTATTGATTGTCTTTGCTTGTGATTTGGAGAAGAGAAAGCGCTCAAGAATTTCAAAATTGACGTTGATAATTTATATGAGTAAAAGCGAGAAAAGAAATGCAAAAAAACAAAGAGAAATAAAAACACTCACCAAACTTTCTTAAACACCAACAATGATGAGATAGAGATTTAAAAAAAAACACGAGATCTAAGTCACTTGTTTTCCTATTTCGACTTCATTAAAAACTATAAATTCATGCCTCAAAGGCATTATTAAAATTATCATCATAGACATGGCAAAAGTTATAACGAAGTTCGGTTTATCTTCTCTAATTATTATTCAGAAGGTGAGAGAGAGAAGAAATTTTAAAGAAGACACAACACACCTTCCTAATCCCTCTTGTTGGTATGCCAAAAGAGAGACGGAAAAGACGGGCTATTTGGATAACGCTGCCAAGCGAACACAATGTGAAGACAGGTAGCTGTTTACTTGTGAAGGCAAACAACATATCTTCGGAGAAAAAAAACACCAGTCAGCAAAGCCGAAGAGCGGAACAGTACAAAGACTGTTGTTTACATCCCTGGGAAAAAATTTGTGTATTTAAAACGGAGGAGAATTTCTGTGTAACTACAACAAAAATTATCCAATGGGATGATGTTTTGACAGATCTTCAAATTTTCTTAATTCCGGCCAAAATTCGTAAAATCGCCACCCAAAAAATTTGCAGAACATGTGATTAGAATGATAATTTTATATCATACATCTTTATGCGAATGATTATCGAATTATGGAGAAGTGTAGTCATTGTAATATTTACAAGCCAAACGAGGCTTTTATATAGGGATGTTATCCTGTTCGTCCAAACTCAGTTTGGCCCTGTTTGAATCCTGAACCGGTTAAACTCGAGTTTTGCG